TCTCTGTTTTATTTTTTGATCGAATACGTGGCTTTTCAGTGCGATCGCGCGCGTACGCGTGGACAAGCGGCGGCCTCCCGCGGCAGCCCCAGTAACGACGTAGCGCGCCATATAGTCGGCCAATGGCTGCGACAAGTGATTTTTGAGCTTGTAGTGTCATTTATATTTTCGAAGGAAAAGAGCAATTTTTAGCTGGCTTTGAGAAATATTGTGAATAGTAGACTGCGTGCTTTGCTATAATATAAGCCTCGCTTGTTCTCGGTAGTCTCGACTACCGATCCAGCAACAACCATCGGCAGCGTTTTTCTGACCTGCTCACTAAGCGTTGCAGAGCCCCTTTAAATTTGAAGGGGTGCTTTGCGGCAAAGTAATTTCCCCTATTTAGATGCTTTAACGACTCAGCCCTTGTGCACTGCAGTGAAACCACTTCTACAGGTGGTTGCATACGGATTAATATACAACTGTTCGCTTATTACGAATACTTCAAAATTTTCCGTAGGTTAAATTTAAACCAAAGTGAATTCGAATACTTTAGTATCCCTTCGAATATTCGAAGCAATCGAATATTCGCACAAGCCTAGCATTTACCACGTAATGTATGACTTGCCACTGGCCAATGATATGATTTTTAAAAGCCTGAAATGAAAAAAAGAAGCGAAAAAAAGAGCAACTTGTGGAACAAATGCCAGAAAGAACTGCCGGCAGTTCGCTAACAGTGAACGGGGGCCTACACGAAGCTTTTAAAAACAAGTTTTTTAGTAAGTTTTCTCAAATGAGTTACACGGTACGACGGCAGAGCTCCTGATTTTGTGGGTTTTGGCGTTTTTGCCATTAATTATCCAACGCCACAAAACATTTTAAAAAATTACTGTGTAGCCTGTCAGTGTCATTGTTAACGAAAAACCCATCGTTCGGGGGACGCACGGTCAGTAGAAGTGGTGGCGGCAAAAACACAACGAGCAGGAAAGAATGAGTGCTACTGCACTACCGTACTGCCTTACTGTAATTGCACGACCTGTTTCCATAACTTTCTAAAGGGCTCTATTATTCCTGGTCATATCAACGGGGTGCGTACCTACCAAGAAGCCGCCTACCGAAAAAATTGGCCCCGTATCTGCATGCTACACTGTAAATGTCGTCGAAAGACGACAGTCTTGCGTCTGGAGAGAATTAACAAAACGTTTACTTGGTGTTCTGCGCAAAAAATTTGGTCAATGGTATTCTGCAGGCACTGCGTTAGAGTGCCTCGAGCGTGTAGTGGAGGCGAACGAGCGTATCCAGTCACGTCACACGTGAGACATGAGCGCTACCTGGCAGTTATATTTAGAAAATGAAGCGTGCGGCGTGCGCGCCCGTCTCAGGGTTGATAAGGCAAGGCGACGGGTAGGTGCCACCACCGTGTCATCTTAGCAAAGCGTTGGAAACACTTGCCTTTTCGTGCACAGCCCTGCATGGTCAGGTCAGCGTGATAAACAGTATGGTCGTTAGAATTCCTTATGATGCCTTTTCTAGTAAAAAACACTCATACAGAATATTGACGTGTTGTTACGGTGTCTCTGATATGCGAGATAATTGCTTGTTAATTGACACTCGCAAAAGTGTGAGCTCTGAGTCTGGAGCAATATTGGTGGGCGCTGCGGATGGAGTCGGCCGTGTGGGGTATCGTTAGATGCCGTTTGGGGTATCGTTAGGGTGGACAAACAGACAAATGTACAGAGAGACAGATCAAAATTTTTGCGTCGAAGGTCCCCAAGAAAGAGAAAAATAAAAAATGAAGTTTTTTCATTACATTCCAAGGTCCCCAAGAAAGAGAAAAACGAGCCCCCTCAGCCCCCGAACTCTACTCCAACTGTGGCACAGCTAGCAGAGCTTCTCTCTTTGCATGCACAAAGGTCACTCGTCAGATTCGCAGCTCGAAGCAATTATCGTAGTCCGTAATTGCGCGGTGCAACGACTCGCGAATATCAGACATTGCAGAAGCACTTGCATCGATAGCCTTCTTTTCGAATCGGTGTTGTCGAAATCTTGCGCACAGAGTCGTAACAGACAAAATGTCAGAGGTGATTGAGTTTCCTGTGACGATTGCGAACGAGACGTCACCATAAAGCTTGATTTAAAACTAAAGTTACACGGCATGAGTGTATAGTGATATGTATGGTTTAATCACATTTAAGGCGACTCGATCTCGAAAAGTAGAAGAGGCAATACATGCTGGACGCACTCCAGTGAAATAGGTCGCGTCAGCCACACTAACTTTGTTGACATGGTGGTGCAATCTAGCAAAAGAGCCTGGAAACATCAAGTGGATTATCGCGCATCGGTGGATGCATTTAGCCGTCGTGCCCCATCTCGCCGGCTGGATTATCCGGAATATCAACAACAACGCATTGTCGGACGCCATCAAACATGCATTCTGCGGATTAGTGGAAACCCAGTGCGTCTCAATACGCACGCGGTGTGTGCTGACAATGATTATTGCTCATTCCCCGACGCAAAACAAACCTGAGTAACCAGGCCTAACCTGCTGATACCCAAACAATCAAGAGTGAGTGGACAGCGAACACCATCTATGGCTTGGCAGCATCACTAAAACCGAAACCACCCGGCAGCAATTCAAATCGCAACTGGTGCCCACCCTTTACCATGTAATTCCTGATAGTGCAGTGCAAACAGACACAAACAAGCAACTCTGTTTTAGCATCGCACATACACAAACAGGAATAACACCAGAGGACAAATTGCTGTAAACATGACCAGAACTCACCGAGGCACCGCACCGAAAGGGACCACTGCCCGTGTGAAAGAGCTCTACCACTCTACCATTACTACTCCTTCCGTCGGAAGGAGTAGTAATGGCAGAGTGTGAAAGCTGTAAAGGCTGGTCACACATTGCACCTTTGCACGAGACTAACATCAATGCAGGCTGCAATAGCACTCCGAGAAATCAAAATGCGTGACAAACAAGCACAACAATTTGCCCAAATAAAAGCCTAATGGGAAGCAGACCATGCCGATGCAAAAACCGACAGGCACATCCTGATCACTTGGCTTAACAAGGAACGCAACTTGCGAGCATAATTCGCTGAGAAGGTCACTAGTCTCCAAGCCCAACTAAAAAGAAAAAACATTGAGCAGAGAAGTAGGAATCAGGACCCGCAAGAACACCGGAACCAGGCTACCGGCTACCTGCACATCTTGCCGCAGCTTGGGGATATCAGAGCCAACACTCCTCTCAAAAATGCACTCCCACAGTCAGTGGAAGGAAGACACCACAATTCAAAGCACAAGCGAAATAAATTAAGAAACTTAACCCACATCTGAGGTAGCAGATGATCATAACACATGGACATAAGTAGGCGAAAAATGTAGAGCTTGGAAACCAGAGAAAACCAGCCAGACGCAGCAACATCACCGCCCGCACCAAACACAGAAACGTGCCAACGCACACATGCAATAGATTAAACACAACGACCACCCACCACAACGCGAGCGCACAGTAGTTCAAGGTGACTCCAATGCTGATCGATGAAAAAGGCACCTCCGCAAAACAATACATGAACAAAGACTACGAATCACTACAAAGTCAGGTGCCAAATCTAGAAGAAACACTGCAACGAGCACAAGGTGAAATTGAGAAAGAAAAAAGTGTCACCAGCACAGAACTACAACTAATCATCCATGTAGGGACTACTGACGTTCTAAATAGAGCAGACGGGGAAAGAACGGCAGAGAAACTGAAACGACGACTCACATGCTGGAGCCAAAAGGCACCCAAAAATCACTACATTGTGTGTGCCATACCACAGCCAAAAAAAAGGGGCCAACAATTTCTAACTGCATGCAAAACATGGAATACGAAAATCGGCCATGCTAGCACAGCACTGGGTCTATGTGTACAGTTTATGTCAACAGCTGCCCACCTAACCAAAGACCAGCTATACGACATCCACTACTCGGAACAGGCAGCTGATATTCTTGGACATCAGCTAAGTGAGATCGACGACAACAGCAAACAGCCAAGTCAACTGCAACATTGGCAACGAATGCGACTACAAGAAAGGACCACGCAAACGCTGCTGAAGGCAATTACAACAGACCTAGGCAAACGAAGACAAAGAAACGTGCATTCGTAGGCATACATAATTAGAACAAAGACAAACAAAGCTATATGCAAACCACACTCAAACTCCAATCCCCGAGAAATCGCCGAACATTCCTCAGAAAAATACGCAACAAAAGAACAAAACATAATGAGGTCACTAAAACTCATGGTACGCCTGTTGAATCTGCAAGGAACAAACAAACTGAAGTGCGCTGAACTCCAAGACCAAATAACAGACAAAAAATAGATGTCTACGCTCTAACAGGGACTCATCTGAGGGACGAAGAACAACCTCTTCTCCCGGGACCTGTATGGCAGGGAAAGATCAGCAGCGAAGGACAAAAACGGGGAGGAGGCATTGGCTTTATTTTACAAAGTAACACCACAGTAATGGTGGATAGAGCACTGCACGGGCCGATTTTTCCGGCCCGAGCCCGGCGCCGCCGGAAAACATGATGCTCCGGCCCACCCGAGCCAGGCCCGGTGTTTTTAAATACAGCCCGTACCCGGTCCGGGCCCAAAAGGCTTAAGCCCAGCCTGTTTCAGCCAGCTATGCTTTGAACATAAACGAGGCACTGTCGACTCTTCGGTTATTGTCAAGATACCTTCCTCACTCAAGATATTTTCTAGTGAGTGTATTGGAACTTCTGTCAGTGTCGCGAGTTTTCACTGGTATACTCTGTGTACTTTCGGTTAGTTATACAGTAACACTTTTGCAAAAATTTGTAAGGTAATATAAAATGTGATTGTAGTCATAGTTGGCTGTCTCATGTCAGCTGTGCTAACCACACAATCTTATTTTTGCATTAAAAAACGGTTACGAACATGCTACCTCCATGAAGTGGGAACGACAGACATATATAGTGTAAGTCTAAATAAATTTCATGCGAGCCAGGGCTGTTGAGCAAAAGTAATGCATCTCCTGCAAACATCATTTATTACGCCATGCAATAAAAAAACACACGCTCAAGCTATTTCTAGGAGCAATACAGCAGGCTGGGCAGCGTTACATAACCTAAAACTATCGTGTCGACTCCTCGGCTGTTTCCAACATACAGTGTGTTTTCGAGCGCAAAACAAGAATGTTCTTTTACTCACACTTCTTCCCCGAGTCACCGCCACTGCAGTTCCATAATCTGTCAAAGCGACCAAGGCTCATTATCTCCTGACGATACCTATTTCATTAGGTTAAGCTTTCGTTAATTAACATTTCCAATGTAACTTATCTGTGGCGGATACTGGCATACTAGTCTCGCGTAGTCGTGGCAGTTGTGACGTTTTAGAAACTGAACATTAAAATATAAGATTTTACCATTCAGCTTCACGAGTGTTATGTAACTTTCTTTGTAATCTCCGCAGCTTTCAGCTCACATGGCACATCATTTTCGACAGAAGATAACCTAGGCTGTTATCGTGTGGTGATGTAAACGATGCGTGAAACGGCGGACAGCTGACACGAAGCCTTGCCTATTTCGCGTTGTACTCATTGACATAAGCTTTAGATTTCTTTTTGACACCATTGGATTTAGCCACGGACACGAGCATGTAGTCTGCAACCTCCGACGGGAGTAAGTACTCAAGGAGGCGCACTACCCTGTCCGCTGTTCCTCCTGTCCTGTAATGCGCCTTGGGATGCTCTTCCCTGAGGGCGGAGACCATGTCTGTAACCACTTCACTCTGGTCGTCGCGCATGAGGCCTTCCATGAACACTCTGGCCATGATTTTCATTTTCGTCACTTTTTCTTGGTTGACGTCTCCGCGCACATCCGATGGAAGGCCTGCGATGAGCTCATCAATGTGCTGGGCCATTACCGTCGGGTCTGTTATTCCTGTCCTGTAAAGAACAAGAAAACAATCAACACATTAGGATGCAACGCACATTTTGACATATACGAAAAAGAAAAGTTTAGTGCCGCAGGTAAATATTTTAAATATAACGGTGATGCGTACAATTGTTGTTATTTTCGTCATATTGATATGTGGGGTTTAACGTCCCAAAACCACCACATGATTATGAGAGACGCCGTAGTGGAGGGCTCCGGGAATTTCGACCACCTGGGGTTCTTCAACGTGCACCCAAATCTGAGCACACGGGCCTACAACATCTCCGCCTTTATCGGAAATGCAGCCGCCGCAGCCGGGATGCAATCCCGCGACCTGCGGGTCAGCAGCCGAGTACCTTAGCCACTAGACCACCGCGGCGGGGCTATTTTCGTCATATACTTATGGTGTGTCTCAGCCGTATACGTTTATGCATACACAGACCACAGCGTTATCATCGTGCTGTTACATCGGTGCCCGGCATGGCTCACTGGCTGTGCGGCTATGTAAACGTTAAAATTGGGCACACTGGGAACGCACGATGCATACCAGTCACTTGCGCAGCCCAGTGAGGAGAGGGAAATACGGCCATGACATTTGTACGCACAATGTAGCACCTTAAGTGTTTTTCATTTGAATGTGTGCAGTATAAAGATATACTTTCTGGTCTTATCACCCTTCTCAATTCCTTTACTATAAGCTTCGATATACTTTTGCTTTCCGGGGCATGCGTTACTCATAATGACAACGCTTCACAACTAGACTGTTACATCTACAATGGTGTTACTACAGGGCTCGTCATCGTGGCGGAAGCGTTGCCTTGTACGTAAAGTACTGTCTTGTTCCAATTATTATTGATTAGCTAACTTTTGAGACAACTTTTCTTGAATGTATTACAATATGATTACCCAATATTGTTGCAAGTTACAGCACTGTATCGGCTACCCATGTGCCGCAAGTCTGAATTTCTCACTACTTTGCAAATGTTTATTATATCTAAGCTAAACTTCATCCGCGCGTCATGTTTAATGATGGGTAACGTAAATGCTAACGTGATAAGAGATGACGTGGCCACTATGTGGTCTGAAACTACTGTGTCTATTGCTTATTGTTCAAACACTATATTAGGCTGCACAGCCAAATCATGGATCATAGAACCACATTGCTGGACGTCTGAATCAGAAACATACCAAATACGAAGATTTTTACAGGCTTGCTTTTACTTGACCTCTGTGACGCATTACCAGTTTCTGCTCATTTTTTACCCTTTACCTCTATTCTTAATTAGGCTGACAAAACAATGCGTCACATCATCAAGGAGATCACACTGAAAAAAAATCGCTTGAAAATAGCGCTCATGAGTTGGTATTTTTTTTATACGCTAAGTGACTCAGATCGTGCATGTAGCGTTTTCTCGCGTTATCTCAAAGCATGTTATGATATAATTTTTGGATGGCGTTGCGCACACCAAAAAACAAGAAAAACTGCAACGAATAGATCACCACGGGCTTTCACAAAATTATTTTTTAATGTATAAGTGTGTTCTAACATCTGACCTATAAACATGCTAAAACAATTCAAGACTTATCACAATAAGCTGAATTCATACATACTCAACGCTGAGATAGTTTATTATGAATGCCTTTTCACCAAGATTTCTTATGATCCTCATAAACAGTGAAAAAAATTGAATATTCCGGGACAATTAGCTGAAAATAAAACGCGCATGATAGCAAAAATGACATCATAGAGCTCCATCATCGTTCATGACCAAGACTACAGCGATGATGCAGCTCTTACGTAGACATTTTGCCCAGTCCGGTGACGTACAGGAGTCGTTAAATAATCCCAGGCCATGCTGCTATATGAATACAAGAAATAGTGGCCTGTGAACTTTTTACGGCCTCTGTACATTAATATTTCGCCCATTCCCGCGGCGATGTGCCTATCTTAGAATACTGTATACAGGAAAAAATTGCCCATTGAGCCTAACACACTGAGTGTAAGCAGACTGTCACCTTTGAAGGTACTTTGCTCACTAAATAGATTACGTTCCCGCCACAGTGGTCTAGCGGTTGTAGTGGACTGCTAACTTGAAGGTCAAGTGATAGAATTTCAGCCGTGGCGGCAACACTTGTGATGGAGGCGGAATCGTTTGAGGCCTGTGTACCTAGATTTAGGCGCGTGTTTTAAAATAAGAACAAAACCCGAGTTGTCGAAATTTCCGGAGCCATCCTATGTGGTGTCCTAAGCTGATGGAGCTGGAGTTGAGTTAGTAATTGTCGTTATTCTTCGATGGACGTCTGGGCTTAAAACCGATGCTGACGTAGGCTCTGGAACGACCGAGAGCCTCGATTAATCGCATGCTGCGCGATTTCTTACGCCATTTAGGTGGACGAAAGCAGTCACAATGAGATAAGTCATTGAGCGAGTGCAGGACAGTGAGACGCGATTTACACGATGCCTTAGCTTGCAATTACTTTTATAATCTTAGTCAAGGTGAAGCCGAGCATGTTTTCGAAGTAGAGATCCGGTGTGTTATAGCTTGTGAGCAATGTCGAGCTACCCGTGTGAGGTTTCAGCCGGTGTCGATTGAGTTCAGAGCAATATTTCTAGACACAGTGCGCGCAACTGTCCCTATTGGACCTGTAAGGGTGTGAAGTTGAAGGAGAATAATAAAAGCTCCCGATATTGTGCAGCTATTACTGTATGTACTTTCATACGTGGGATAACGCACGCCGACACCTTGAAGGAAATGGTGCATATGTTCACAACGGTATGCAGCACGGCCACCGCTGGCTGTGCAATTCAAGTACAGTTCGTGACAAAATGCGCACAAAAATACGAATTGACGCACATCAGAAACGTCGCATTGCGCATACTGAGACAAGGTTATATGGCCGTCTCGGCTTCTTCAGCGCTGTGATACTGTGAGCTTGATCTCGCGTTTCGTGCTCTCCATCATATGTACGATGCACGCATAGTAATGCACTGTGTCTGTTTACACTACTGTTGTAGTGAAACGCGACACCAAAACATTTATTAGAGTGACTAGTATGTGCGAGAGCTCGGGATAGCCACGACCTCCAGCTAATAATCTGGCGGCTGAAGGTATATGTATGCTTTGAGGCAAGTGTTAACCTACAGTACTTTTATTATATTGTTTTACCGGGAACACTGATGCAACTGGATATTTCCGCGAAGGAACTGAATAAAACGCCACAAGAAATCGCCCCCAGCTCCGCCACCTTCCTCGACGACTTTGTAAATGCGTAAAATTGTAAATGCTACGATGCCTACGGACGCACTTGAATTGCCTAACTGGTAACGTAAGCAACGTTGTCCGTTACGGTCTTGAAGTGGTGACGAGTGCGGTACTAAGTTAAGAATACTGCCAACGCCGAGGACAGGCCAAAGCCCGCTCTAACTCAGGACCAGCTGGAAGATTGTCAATAAATAAGGTTCAACTTTTCTTCCTTAAATATTAAAAAAAAAGACTTGGCCGCAAATGGTTATGGCAACCTTTGGGCAGGCAGTGTAGTACATGCGTTGCCAACGAAAAAAGCAACTGCGTCCTCTTAGGACTCGACACTGTGACCAATGAAACAGCGCTAAAGTGCACCCGCTTCTCTGTGCTGGAACACTTCACCTTGTAAACGAACTTGCTGTTGGGCATACGCGTATCTGCCGGGGGGGGAGGCTGAGCCCCCTTTTACTGAGCAAAGTTAGCGGGCTGAGCCCCCCCCCCCCCCCCCATTTTCGACAGTGGTCACTGCCGGTTGCAGGCTCAGGAAAAACAAACAACTAAGGCGAAATTTTCCTCCACCATTGTGAACACTTGATTTGCGTCAGCAAACCATCAATAGCTCTAACCGATGAGGAGCTAGCATTTTTAGACAGTAGCAGGGGCCATAGGAGTTAGGTAATTACTATAAGGCACAGTAGGCATTGGTAAGGTGGGGCTGACATACATAGATCTTTTATCAGTTCTGTTATTTTGGTCCGTGGTTTGGTCTTATCGTATGTGCCATGACACTGTTCCATCTGTCACTATATATTTCATAGTTTTCCGAACAAATTTTCAATTGGTAGTAAGCGCTTGTCCCTGTATTTCTGTCTGAGTCTAAGTAGTGCGCTCTTATTTCAAAACAATCATGTATCATCAACTTGGCCAAACAACTATATTGGTGATCACTCAACTATATTGTTACCAGGAAAAGTTACAATATAGTGATAATTTTCCAATATTCCAGGAGTGACGATTTCCTTGAAGGCGCTTTGCGACGCTCTACGCCCTGGGATGCAGCGCTGCAGCGAAGGCTAGCGCTGAACAAAGGCCCTATAATACTACATCACTTGTTCATGTTTTTATTCTGCTGCAGCCGGCCGACGCAGTTAAAGATGGGAACGAACAAACTTTTTTTATGGACAGGTCAGAGCATTTGCTGTTTCAGAAAAATAATTTTTCTTTTATCGAAAAACATGATCATAAGTGCGACTAATCTTTCTAAATATCTTAGTTGTGCCGTACTGAAAGCGCCAAGAAAGGTTTCCGCGTTCGTCTCCGATAAATCTTATCAGCCTTGCTTACGGCAACTAGAAGCGACGGTGGCATGCTTGCGAAGTGGCGACGAATACAGCAGTGGACTCGAGCTCAGCGGGAAGCTACGTAGATAAAAATGCTCACTATATCTGTGCCTTTTTAAGGGTTGCTTCACATTTAAAACTGAATTCTTTGTGAGCTGTCTTTAGTCAAATAAAATTTGTATTGCACAATAATATATTTGCTGTTGAAGAGGCCGCCATCAACATAATTGTATTCATGCGAAAAGTTCTGATGTAACCGTAATCCATCAAGATCGTCACATGTAATATTATTACATGGTTGACAAACATATATGTGTTGTCCCAGTGCATGCTGCTTAAAACTAACTGACCATTTTTTACGCTATATATATATATATATATATATATATATATATATATATATATATATATATATATATATATATATATATATATATATATTGTATAGGAAAGAAGACGCACGTACGAAGTTATTTATTGACGTTTCGGCCGTGGGTCCGGCCTTCATCAGAATACAGTTTATTGCACGAGTGCTGTTTATATACATGTGCATATCAGTAAGATACAAATGTGAAAACCGACATGAAAGGCTATATATGGGCATATATATATATATATATATATATATATATATATATATATATATATATATATATATATATATATGCAAGTCACACAATATAAAGAGCACCTAATCTACGAGTAAAAAGATATTGCTTCCATGCGCGAGCACGTTGTTTACAAATAAAAGATGAAACGCATAAAAGATAAAGCACATAACATGAAGAGTAGTCCGACCGGTAAAAGCAAGAGAAAAAAAACTATAAAATACTAATAAAAATGACAAAGACGTTACAAAGCTGCTACGTAATCAACGGATACAGACAATGTAGTGCGAGCAAGGTTGAAAAAAGTTGGACAGGGTGATACAAGTTACGCAGATAGGCAACTAAGTTTTCCTACGTTTTCATTCAGACCAGATGCGACGGCGTTGAACTTATAGATGAGGAATGATTCACGGGCTTCTCTATCATAATTTGTGTGGAAACCAGATTCTAGTAATGTGACTTGTAGGTTTTCAAAAAAGTGGCCAGGGAGGTGCACGTGTCTTGAAATGGGCAAGTGGGGCAAGGTGTTAGCATGAGATTTATGGTTGTTAAAATGCAGTCTAAAAGCCCTTCTGTTTGACCAATGTACTGTATTTCACATAGCGCACATTCTATCATGTATATCACGTTCTTAGAATATATATATATATATATATATATATATATATATATATATATATATATATATATATATATATATATATATATATATATATTGAATGAACTTGCAGATAGCACATTTGAAAAGGAAATTGTCTTTGCTAACGTTTCGGCCGCGGCACGGCCTTCGTCAGAGTCATATATATATATATATATATATATATATATATATATATATATATATATATATATATATATATAAGGGAAAGAAGTGTATACCTAAGGGCTCGTTTTTCCATGTTTTAACCCAATAATAATGAGATCTAACACACAGTAATGCCAAGGAATGTACAAGGGAAGTTATTAGAACCAATTGAATGTAAATAAGAAGAAAGAAAAGTGGATGAAAAAATAACCAGCCGTGAGCAGGAATCGAACCTACGACCTTCGAATAACGCGTTCGATGCTCTAACCACTGAGCTACCACAGCGGCCTTCCATCCATCCACTTTTTTGGGTTTATATGTGAATTTAGAAGTAGGAGTGACAGTCAGCGACATCTATAAGCCAAGCGACGAGTGTGAAAAGACTCTTTTACGCGCATGTTTGGAGTCACGTAGCACGTGAACTTATTATGAGCTGGCAGCTGATTAATAGTTCCTCTTATACAACCTAATAAGTAAGTTCACGTGTAATTTGAGCCGCAACACACGTGGCGGGACCCCTACCACACGCAAGCGGGGGACAAATCAGCCAATTGGCGACGCTCTTTCACCCTCCGCAGCATAGCCATTTGGCTGATTTGTCCTCCGCTTGCGTGCGGTAGGGGTCCCGCCACGTGTGTTGCGGCTGTGCGGGAAGCGCGTGAAACGGCCCTGAACGTGTCGTGCATTTGCGCTTAACTGAGTTTTCGAAACACTTTACCTGTATCCAGTGGGTTCGATGGTGCTGACTTGAACACCTGCTGTGCGTAAAGTTCGCCGAAGTCCATCTGCTAGTGAGACGCAGGCGTGTTTCGTCATGCAGTATGGTACCACCCACGGAGCCGTCATGCGACCTGCAGTGAACGAAAGAAGAATTAAACGCCCGTTTCTCCGCTGCTTACATGGTAAATATGCTAATGTAAAACTTGAAAAGCTGCCACTGCAAGAAGAAAGAAAAAGATCGAGGTGAGCTTGAAAACTTAGACTGCGCTATCTTAATAGAGGTCATTTGTACACCGTTAAGTACATTGTCCCTTCTGCGTGTTCGCATGACATCATCCTTTGCTGAGACCTCTCCGATCCCACCATAATGCCATCATTGACTGCGCACGTGCCGAAGTTGCGTTTTCATCACTGTGTGAGGTCCCATGACAAGAACATCTTCATAAACCGCCTAAGTTACTCGTTCAGGAGAAAACCGACATTCCGCTTAGAACTGTATCACTTGTCTCCGTGTCCTGCGAGCTGTCGCCGATGGCACACTCTTTTTCACGCCATTCGATCTCTCTTCACGAGCCGTAAAGCTCTAACGCTTGAGATAGTCGCTGGCCGCATCGATATATTCGTGTTCAAACCACTCTCCTAGCCTGTCAAGTTGCTTGTAGGTGAATGTCTTGTCCACGTAGATGATGTTGACTCATCGTCTCTCAAGTTGACGTCCCAGATGACCACTGTGAACAACCACATGCTTTTTCAGCCCTTGAGGAGTCATCAAACGACACATTTCCCAACGCCATCACCGATACCCTCCCTCCTGCCGATCACGCCGACCTTCTTTTTCTTCTGCAGAAATTTCGCAATTCCTTCGATGTGTCGCAGCCTCAACAGAACCGCATGAGTCGACACTGTTGCGCTCAAGCCGCTGCGTCAAAGACCATACTAGGGTGGCTAGAATGGGGAGGTGTGATGAGTGCGGTCTTTTTTGCTTGCCATAAAAGGTCTCTCGGCGTGCCGATGCCACTCGGGGCACTGATGGCAGCGGCGCGGATTGTGAGTGGTGCACTTCGCAGGCTTTTCATCCAGTCCTCTGTTATTTCCTTCACAGGCGGTCACTGCTTTACAATTACTTTGCCAATCGGTGCTAAACAGCAGCAAATGATTTCAAACGAAGCTTGTACAATCGTGTCTTCATAGATGTCGAGTCATTGTTTTTTCATTACATTTTGTCATGTCTCCATGCGACCTGCGATGTACATGTGACTTTAAAAAGACCAACTAATAGCGTTCCAAAGGCAATACATTCTTATATTTGGCGTCAACGCTACTAGGACCCAGTCATAGGATGCGTTTGAGTGTTAGGCTACAAGTTTATTGGGCAACTGTGAAAATTGAGGCCAGTCCGCCTGGATTGCGTGGGCATTGCCGCCTATTTCTGCCGGTCTCATGTCCTGACGTGACTCTCTCCTCCTCCGCGGTGTGTCGCACTGGGAGAGCTGGATTGACGATTGACCCCTCTCACCCGGTAGCGGATGTCGACTGTGGCGCCGTGCGTGAAGTCGCTTGGAACGTTTTGCGCACGCGCGTCGGAACTAGGGAGAGAGTGAGAATCTCTCCGGGACGACATAGGGTGGCGCGCATTCGACAATTGGCAACCTTGCCCCCCCGAGGTCGCAGCAGTTAGTATCTCCGGCGAGGGCTAGGCGAACGGCCTCTGGTGACGTCCGCGTAGCTTTAAGGGAAGTCACGATGACGCTCCGTACTGCGTCGTGCTCCCGACCGGGCTGCAGAAATTAGGTGCCTTTCTCCTCTTCTAACCACCACCATTTCTTTCCCGTCCGGGCTCCTAATGTTCGGGGCTCGTCGGACTTCGCCAAAGGCGCCTTGCGCCCGCAGCAAACGCTCACCTTTCTTTGCCCCTATCAAACGCTTGGCCGAATAGCGGTGCGGTGTCTTCGCGCGTGGTCGTACTACCGCGACCCGTATTTCTAGAAGCCAACGCCAGGGAATTTTCGCTCGAGCGACCGGCCCCAGTTTTCCCGGTGTCACCGTGAATCTCTTTTGCCCATCGAGACATGCTCGCGGCATCCTGCGTAGTACTTCTGGCCTGTGGCATGGGCCTATCCCACCACCCCTGTTGCAACGGGCTCTGTACCGCATTTTTGGTTGCCGCAGGCATAGAATGTTGTGACCTGTTGAGAACAGTACCGTGTTCTTGCCACGCTGCGCTCGGCGCCATGGCTGTCCAAACGTGCGTGCGCAGAATAACGCGGCCATGCGGCTCACTAAGACAGGACCGACGCTAGTGGCCGTACTCCTTCGGTAACGTGAAAACTACAAAACCTTAAAGTTATTTGGCGGGAATCACTGTCCAGTCACAGTAGCCTTTGTTTTTATTATTGTGCTCAAGCAGAATGTAACCGCCATGGCGAGGATAAAACTCGTCGCCTCAAACTTAGCAGCGTGTCGCCACAACCGAGCTAACGCAATGCTTTTGCATTATTATTATTATTATTATTATTATTATTATTATTATTATTATTATTATTATTATTATTAATATTGTTGTTGTTGTTGTTGTTGTTGTTGTTGTTGTTGTTCTTGTTGTTGTTGTTGTTTAGGCGTGAATTACTTCGAGCCTGAAGGAACTAAAGATGCCCTTTAACAGCTCTCTATCACGCCAAAGCTGCACTGTAAACAGAAATAAGCCGAAATGGGAGTAAATGACCTTGTCCTCTAGCGCACACCCAGATGGGAGTTTTAAAAAACCCGTCTCTGGGAGTAAAAAATTTACTCCCCATCAGAAGGGGGTTTTCGCATGGTGTCAGGGGGGTTTTTATTTACATCCATAGGGGAACTTTTTCAGGACAGTATGGGAGTAAATTTTTTGCATCGACCGAGAAAAAAATTACGTCAGCAGCCGTACCATGCGCAAGCGTAACTTTAATTACATTACATTTAATACGCACAACACTGATTACAGTACACAAACATTATCACAACGTTCACGTAATACCACAACACTCGCACTCACCACAGCTTGCCACACGCAGTACACACCTACCATATAGTCACCGAGTATATATAGGCACCACATTCTGACCTCCTGTAGCCCAGGTGAAAGCCTTTTTTTTTCTAATAATTAAGCAATAAATACGCACGGCGTAAGTATGAACTTGCGGTGGTCTGATGTAAGCGCTTCAACACACATGCTTTTTATCCTAATCCTGCCTAATATTTAATATCTTTTTACTATAACGAAAAAGTTTTATCAGTTGACGCTCTGTCGTACAGGCTGAATTCGCATCAGCAGTGCTGTTTGTGGACCCGTGAAATGCACTGAATCATACACAAAGTGCGCGCGGCCTTGAATGAACACATTAACGAGGCACATTCAGCAGCTCCAGCGATGAACCGAGGTAGACCGCCGCTACCGCGTTCGATGACTAGGCCTCACTCACGAGTACGGCACGGCGATTCGATGAATGACAGCTGGCGATCCCAAAATGCTTGCTGATGTGCAGTTTACGTCTCATTTTTCCCATGCACAGAAATAGGTGTTCGCTATCCACGCAGTTTAAGCTACGGAGCGATAGACTTAAACGAATGAGACGGTTCGCAGTCGCTGTTCCAGTTGCTCGCATGCATTGCATGTATAGCTCGCAGAGCTCGCCACGGCGGCCGGTGCGCAGTGCGAGCTCGATACGATGCCGGCTTGATACCGACGCCATAGCGAGGTCTTCCTACCGCTTAGATGTTGCAGCCGGTGAAATACCAGTGACACTCCGAGAAGCCACTATCGGCGGAGACGGGGCGAGCGCGTCGCCGGCGCAACTCTCAGACCGGTTGCCGGCCAGCCTGCCGTAGTCGAGCGAAGCCTACTTCGAACCGCTTCGAAGTTTTACGGTGCAATCGCTGACGATCGTACTCCGCCTCGTTCGGCGCTCGCCTTGTAGTTAGTCATTGACAGCTGCGGTCGCAAGGCGCAGAAGACTGTTATACATCCCAGCAGCCTTCATTTTTTGTGAAACACATTCTTTGCATCGCCGGTGGTCGGTGCTAGCTCGTAGCGCTTGCCGCGGTAGCCGGCGCGCAGTGCGAGTTCGATACGATGCCGGCTTGATGCCGACGGCATAGCGAGGCCTTCTTACCACTTAGATGTTACAGCCGGTGAAATACCGGTGACACTCCGAGAAGCCACTATTGGCAGAGACGGGGCGAGCGCGTCGCCGGCGCAACTCTCAGACCGGTTGCCGGCCAGCCTGCCGTAGTCGAGCGAAGCCTACTTCAGACCACTTCGAAGTTTCTGATGGTGAAACTCCAGGAGCAGTCGCTGACGATCGTAACAGCTTACTTTTGCTACCATTAATTTATTCTTCGAAGTTTTTTGTTACTCGGCCCTTTGAAGCGTGGCATTCAGGACGTTTCGTTGAGGAATCGGACCGATGTGCAGCGTGGTTTAAGGTGCGAAATATATTGAAATGTTCCCAGTAAATACCAACCGGTTGTTGCTATTCTTCGCTGCACTTATAATTTCGTTGCCTGTTGACAGATGCTTACACGGTTAGCCACACAAATCACATGTGTTTCACACCGACGTGCAAACATGTGCCCGTACAGACACATACACACACACACGCACACACACACACTCACACACACACACACACACACACACTCACACACACACACACACACACACACTCACACACACACACACACGTCACGCCCAAAGAGGGTTTTTAAAGCTCCTATAGGGAGTTTGTAACCATGTGACCTGAAACTCCCTGGGGAGTTTAACAAGGTCATGTCGTTCATAAACTCTGTGATTAAGGAGGGGGCGTTTTACGATGACATGTGCCGAGTTCACTCCCTACCAGGGAGTAAATAATTGGGGCAGGGGAGTTTTGTGGGCTCATGTGCTGGAGAAACTCCCATCTCGGCTAACTTTTGTTTACAGTGTGTTATCGCCTGGTAGCGATGACAGCTTCCTATTGGAGAGCTTTAGGTTTGAAGCTTCCAGGCGTTCAGGTGTTCTGACTCTTCGTATTTGTATGTACTCTTGTTGCGTGCTTGAAATAGCGGAGGATAGCTTTCAGGTTATGGGGCCCCAAGCGTTGGCGTACCAATAACCAAA